GGCAGAACATGTAACACTGGCCAGAGGGTTGTCAGATTTGCAAAACTGGGTGAAATGTTGCAAACAGGCAGACTGGCGCCATTGGAGAGCAATTCCGAAGAATGAACTCCTGGACACTTCCCGCTTTCTACCAGGGACCCAAACAGCCTCCAGATATGCTTTTAACAAATGATTCTGCATCCCAAATGTTGTCTGGCCTTGAAGCACAGCCCCAGCACCTATGAAAGGATAGAAATAATGAATATAGAAAGTTTATTGAGAATAAAAGAAGACAGAGATTTGAATATAAGTATTAAAAAAAGTATTGGCTTTGCACTCCATAGTTCTGCAGGGAACTTGCCATCCCGCAATGCTAGAGACTGAAAATGGCATCAATATATCCCTCTTAGGGCCACCCAAAATGTCTGAGTAGATCGCCATGCCATTGTGTGATTCCCTAAAATAAAATTACTGTAATTGTGGTTAGGTTTTAGCTATCCAGGAGCCACAAGAAAGAACATAAAAGCCACAGAATAACTTAGCTACATTGTCTCCTGGGGCTTTGCCAGGGCTATTTCTGAGATGATGAAATCTCTATCTCTGGAGAACTTATGCTTGATTTCAGGTTCCCAGTTATTTGATTTCTTTTGCTTGGAAAATGGCACTATCACCTTGAAATCACTGATGTTTGTTCTTCCGCAGTCAAACCCTATCGTGGAAATGTAATTAAGGATAAGCTGTTCTCTGGCACCAGCCTTGCTCAGGAGGCACAAGTCCCACCCCAAACCCAGTGCAGTCTAAAGAAGAGGCAAACAGACTGTTTGAGGACATTGCATAGGAGTGCATGGCTATCCTGCTGAGTCATCCTGACAGAAGGAACCTCTGCTGTCCAAAGGTGTGCAGTTATTTTTGCTTGGTGCTTCACCACATGCAAAAGTCAAGCCAGCTAGCCCAAGTATAGAGAGGGGAGGCAGGGAATATCTGCAGTCTGTGGTACAAGCAGCACAAGCAGATGGCTGTGCCTGTAAAACTGTTCCAAAGTCTTTTACTATCTGCCACTGTGTGGCTGGTGCCCTTGATTGCTTTTCAAATAAACAGAGCTGCAGTGGCAGCAGTAAGAAGTAAGAAGTATTTCCTACAACCATAATTTGCACATTAGGAAGCATGTCTAATGCTGAGAGACCCAGAAATGAGGATAAGCATTGCATCTTGTGAGAGGACTGGTGAAATCCCTACATTAGGGATGAAAATCAGGAAATGGAGGTCTCTGTGTAAGGCATTCCTGAAATTTTGGTGTTTTCTTCCCCTAGAGAAAGCAAGCAAGCATGGAAGAGAACCCTTACCCAAGAGTAACAAAGTGACTTAGAGCCCTAAACGTTTCAGAAATGGATTGTGCAGAGAGCTTTCAGCAGGAGAGGTTTCTAAAGCTTATCAGCTTTTGAAAATAACTCTTGGGCCCTTAAAGATTTAAACATATTGTCAAAACATGCTGATGCCCACTTTTCAAATCTGCGGAAGTTTCCACTTCCACATCCATGTTTGTTCCCTGCTTCCATTCCTTCACAGAGTTATGCTGGACTGTGGCCCCACCAGGCATCTGCAGCAGCTTTTTTGCCCTGCTCTTTGTGTATCATTCCTAAGGTATTAGAGCAAAGTCAGGCAGTGAGCAGAGACTGAGTTATTAGATTCAGTCAGCAAATACAGTAGCAGTGTAAACAACAGACACATCCAGAAACTCCACTGCCATCTCCTCTGTTTCCAAGGCTCATGCCTCTCTTCTGTCTTGAATTTTTGAATAGTTTCACGGCTGATGCCAGTCCTGCAGTACTCCAGCAGAGCAGGTATAACCCCTTGCAGCAACCTAAAAGTTTAACCTAAGAGCTGGGAATAGCCTCCTTTCATCATCTGCCTGTATTGGTAAAAAAACCTTCTCAAACTCCTCCTCTGATACATGCCCAGTGTTAGAGGAAGAAGTAAAGAGGGGCACCAAATGCCTTACCCAACACAGAGCACATTTGCATCTTCCACTGTTTGTTTAGCCATTGCAGTCCCCAGTTAGCAATCCTCAAAGTGCTGCTCAGGCAAGCTTGAGCAGCAGAGTCCATGACCCAAAAGAGGCTGTTAGGGCTTCTAAGTCATCCAAAGACCCTGGTTATATGTTCATCTTCTTTTCTCTTTTTTCTTTGACTATTTCTTTCAACTGTTCAGTTGTGTTATCATTCCTCATTATTTGGGTAACACATGTTTTTGTGCAGGTGTTTAAATCTCTCATACTGTCTGTCCCTAGTAAATTTGTCCAGTTTATGAAACCTCCTTGGAAAAATCTTCTGACACATTTCTGCATGGACCCCACACGCCCACCAGAATAACCTGGTGATATTACGACCTGACTCACTGTTCCAGGTAGAGAAGAAGGGGAAGGGGACAGGACCCCCACTCCCTGTTCAGGAATTACAAACACACAGGCAGGCAAGAAGATTATGCAGCTGCACAGCTTTAGCCACTGCTGCCCAGGGCATTCCTTTCTTCTTTCATCTCCCCTCCACAGTCACAGGTAAATGTGTCACAGGCAACAGAAGAGGGACCTTGATCTTGCTTCCCTGTCTGGGTGGAAAGAAGGTGGGTTTACTGCCAATTCCAGCTCCAGAAGCCCTGCTGTAATTCAGCAATTTTAACTTTTACAGAAAGCTGGTTTCCAGACCCTCATACTGACGAGAAAGGCTTGACAATGCAAAAGGTAACAGCTTGAAAACTGAACGGCCAGTAAATTCTCCTGCCCCCATTGCTTTTCTTCTGGGTGCCAGTGCTCTTTAAGGCAAATCTCCAGAAGTCTGACCCAGGAACATGGGGCAGCTAAGGCTGGCAATACCACGTAAGTGGCACTCAGGCATTGTGCCTTTCTGCACAGAGGTGAACTATGCTGGCAAACAGGGAGGCAATGTGTAACCTGCTGTGCTAATTATATATATGCCTGTAACCAGGGAAGGGCCTGTGTACGTGCCAGTGCCTGGAAGAGCCTGGAAAGACAGGCATGATAGGAAAAACTGCAATCTCTCCTTTTCCTTCTCCATTCAAGGCACTTACACGGGACATAATTGAGGATAGTATTTATTTATTTCTTTGAATGAAAAAAAAAACAACTGTGCTTGTGATTTGGGAGGAGAACTGCCAGAAGAGGAACTGGAGCCTTTCCAATTCCTCACAGTCTAGTAGTTAAGCATTGCCTGAATTGGGCACCAGGGAATCTTGAGCCCTGCTTTCTTCCACTCATTGATTTATAATTCTTGGCATTTAAAAAGGCACCTTGTAAACATTATTTCATTGCTCTTTGATATATAATTGGATCATTTGCTGGCTTGTCTTGTTAGAGGGAGGAAAGCACCCTGCAAGGGGAAGTTTTCTCTCTCCTCAGCCCTTCCTTGCCTGCTGGGGTGCAATGGCACTACCAGCTTGGTTCCCCTCTGAAGGAAGGGAGGTCACCTTGGAGAAAGGTCTTCTCTCTCTGTTTCCAGATCTTCCCTCACTTTTGTGGCACCTGCTTCATGTTCTTTCATCAGTGGTTCTCAGCCATCTGCTGTGTCAGCCCAAGCCCCAGCCTTGAGCAAGCCAAGACAAGCCCTTCCCCATGGCTGGTTCCTGTGGGGCTAGCATGGAGGTGTGGGTCCCTGATGAGAAATGTGGTTGCTGGTCTCAGTGGTGGTGCCCTGATGTTCACCCAGGTATTCAGCACGTCCCTTCTGTGCGTGAGGAAGGTATATGCACAAAGCCGTTTCCAGAGGGCCGGGGGTTGGCTGGCTCCCTACTTAAGTTAATGTGATATTTTTTTAAAGTGTTTTCTTGTCATTATTACTTACCTTTAATTCACAGGCCAAGGCTTGTTTGACACTGTGGCAGAAGCCCTGCCTCTCTGTTACACCTCATGTACAAATTAATGGATATCTTCACTGCATTCCAATAAGGGACTGAAACAACAAATCTGCTGGTTAATCATTTATTGCTGTGTGAATGCTGAATAGCAAATATGCTAGAAACGGGAAAGGAAAGGGCATGGCAAGAGATTAACTGAGGACAGTCAAAAGTCAAGCAGAAAGGAGTGGGGATGAGACTGGAAAGGTCAGGTGGCAAACAGGAAGGTTATTGTAGTGTAAACTCCATCTCTCATCTGCACAGGGGCCAGATGCACTATCTTGCTGCCAGTTCAACCTTCTTTGCTCCATGAATACAGGTAGTGTGGACTGAATAACTAGCTACTGCCTCCAGCTGAATCTGACAACTCATCTGCCTAGGAGAGGTATTTAGATTCACTAAGTTTCTTTCACCTTTCCAAGATTCAGGTCCCCAGTGTTCACCAAGCGTGTGCTTCTCCCAAAAAGAGACCTGCCACCCTTGCAGCCTTTAAAAATACACTTTTCCATGTGAAGTGCTGTTCTTGCCTAGGGCTCTGACTGCCAATCCCACCAACACTAGTGTGGTGGGGAAAGCAAATCAACACGAGTCAGAAAGCTAATTGTCCAGGAATGGACTTCTCTTACAGACTCCAGTGTGATAGGGCTGGTGGGACACAGCACAGCTGTATCTGTTGTGATTGTAAGTAAAGCTTGAGCAGAACAAATGCCCCCTCCTAGACACCTGTGGGGTATTCACTTTATCCCTCTGAAACTTGTAGACCAATGAGCTGGGATGGTGAATTCAGCCATTGTCACCCAGGTCTTGTCTGCTCCTGGCTACCCCAGTTAGAAGGCAGTTAGCTTTGAAAATAGAGATGAGCACATGGACACTGGCAGAATTTACAGTTTATTTTTACTGGCCAGTGGGTGGTGGGATGCTTAGTCCCATGGCAGCAGTGTCTGAGTAAGCATCAATCCCATGTAGACTGGGACAGGGTCTACCCTCACACTGAGCACACATCCAGTAGGAAAGCTTACAGGAACAGCTCCCCAAAGCCAAGGAAAGGGTTCCATTTAGACTCCTGTTGACATAGCAACAGTATGACATTGCCAACATGCCCAGAGCATGGTGGTAGTACCATGGGATATCTGCCCAGGCAGTGGGGTGTTTGTTTTGAGAGAAGCACAATACTGGGTGAATGCCACAATTCAGAGAAACAAGTACTTTGGCCAACATAAACAATGCAGTTATTGATATATTTACACAGCCAAGGTTCCTGTCTTGAATTGTCACCATCCATTGGACTCAATTGCCTTTTCTTTGCTCTCCACCTCAAGTCACAGTGTTGAACCTGACACAGGAGCAGCTCTAAGAAGTCTGGTTGTTCATCATAAGCTTCATACATGTTGACAAAGAAGACACTGAAAAAACCTGGTACCATGGTACCAGCATGCTCAAGCCTATTGCCTCCAGCAGTCCCACTTCTTCTCTGTGAAGGGCTGTGAGAATCACCAATACCTGCCCTTGCTCCAGCCACCTTGGATATCCCCACAAGCTCTGACTTCATCTGGGGTCATAAGGAGTGGAAAGGCTGAGGTGAGTCTTGGTGTCTTGAAGAAAAAAGAGGTGAAGGAGAAGCCTGTCCCCTAGAGCTATGGGTCTCCCAGGACTCATGTCCTTCTGGGGTGAGGGGCAGGGAACAGTTTTGAATTCCTTAACTGAGGAGAAAAAGGCTCCCTCTTCTGTAGAACACCCTGTCCTGTTTTCAGCTGGCTAGGAAGGAAGATAAGTTGGGAAAGGCAACAGGAGCCCATTGACCAGCTGTCTGAGGACTCAGCAGGCTAGTCCTTCAAAGGTAAAGAATAGTTTTTTACTCTGTTTTTTAAAATAGTAAGAGGTGAAAGAATAAAATTAGCCAGTGCCTATTTGATGACCCCCAGGATTATACTGCTTCAGAGTGTGCATGACAAAAACAAACATGTCTACCTGAAACTGTCCTGCATTTGCCTGTATGCAAATACAAATCGCACGACAAAGTATTTTTGCAGTCAGTGTTCTCATTAAAAGCAATTAAAATAAGCAGGAACATTTTGCCAAAGCTGAAGATTTCTGTCAATTTGATTTGGGCAATTTGCCTTGCAGCAGCTAAGTATCAGCTGAAAACGAAGGCACTGATCAAACGAGGAACCTTCCTTTTCCTGTTTAAGGCTCCACCAGACTGCAGTAGGGTGGGAGCATCAATGTGGGGAGAAATGGGAATAGGTGGCTGAAGAGAAAAAGGGAGGGAGAATGAAAAGAATGGAAGCGGCATTACTGGCCAGTAGTCATCTGATGTGATACGTCATTTGATGCCTAACAGAAATAAAATGTTCTGGCATTTCAGTTTTTCCATGAAGCCAGCAGCAGAGGAAGGGAGGCATCAGCATGGCACAGAAGCTGAGGTTCCTCAGCAGTGAGGCAGCAGTTGCGGTAAACAACACAGCATGCTTCCAGGAAGGGACTTGCTCCCAGCATGGACAGATCATCTCTGGATGATTGAGGACCAATCCCATAATTTTCTTTGCATATAGCATGAAAGAGAGCCCTAAATGTAGCAAGGAAGTCTCCTCTTGCCCAGGTCCATGCTCTGTTGGCCACCATGTCCAGGATGTAGTTCTCTCTATGACAAACTTGCAGCCTAACTCCCCACAGAGCACTGCTCCTGAGTTCCTCCAGCTCATTTTGCCTGATTGACTCAGCAGTGCTGCAGTTGGTGTCATGTTACACCCAGACGGTTCTGTCAGCAGACCAAAAACAGTGGACTTCCCATCGAAGCACAAGCAAGCCATAGGTGTCTGTGTGCAAACCTGGGCTTGTCAGAAAACAAGGCTGCCATCATGATGCCACATGAGAGTCAATTCCCTCCCCAGTGAATGGGGAGTGGGATGCCACATACCTGAAAGAAGATGACAAGGGAAGCAACTACCCATATGTGAGACAGCAGGGAAGTATTGCTCCAAAAGTGCTGACAATAACTCCCACCTGAAATATTTTTATACAGACAGAGCTAAAGAGAAAGTCTTTTATAAATTGTAAAAGAAGTGCAGGAGTAATTAATAATAGAGTAATAAAATGGTGAATGCTACTTCACGGTAGAGCAGGATCCTTGGACTTCTGTGTCAGCTCAGAGCAGAGGGCTGTGTGTCACACAGACAAGGAACAGGCCTTCAGCTCCACTGCTCAACAGGGGGAATCTTGGCCATGCCATTCTTCAGAGCTGGCAGCTGAGCCACAGAAAATGTGAAAATCTTTTCCTCAGGGACTTTCTAGGAACTCATTTCAGGAGGATTCCTGCTGCTGAAAAGGACAGGCATCAAAGCACTACATATCCTGTGGGAGGAAAAGGGGAATTCTTTCACAGACATCATCTCTTCCTTATGTAATTAAGTAAGTCAATGGGAAACAAATCCAGACATGAATATTTATCTTCAGCTTCCTGGTAAGAGTTTTGGTTCACTAGATTCCCCTGGCCTTTTTCCAGGTTTTTTTTGTTTTGTTTTGTTTTTGTTTTTTTTTTTTTTTTTAGAGAGAACCCAGATCTGAGAACCTGCTGACCCTCAAGCTGTCTGACTGAGCTGATGCGTACATCTTCATCTAATATTTTCCCTGAAGTCTCAGCCCTCAATGTAGTATTTTCCATAAAGGATAACACTGCAATAATTCTGCTAACGAGCAGTGCTGTGAAACCGCCTGCTGATCTCTTCCCACCCTCATCTCAGAGAGATGTGTGAGGGGGTAAGATGGAAAGGGATCTGTCAGCCCAGCTGCATTAATTTGAGACATCAGCAGGACACAGGCCTCCTGTGGGACCACTGCACAGGGGTGATGCTCATTGCATGAGGCCAGACTCTCAGGGCTTGGGAAGGGGCCACAGACACACCCCAAGGTAACATTAAAGATGACAGCCTGCTGTGCCTCTGTCCTCCCCAAAAAGCTCTCCAATGCAGTTCTGGTAATGCACTAGAAGATGTTTCACAGAGAGGAAACCTCTCTGGTCTCTGAGCAGCCTGATCTGATTAAAGATGTCCCTGCTTCTTGCAGCGGGATTGGACTAGATGGTCTTCAAATGTCCCTTCCAACCCAAAAACTCTATGATTCCCTATTTCTATTATTATTTTCATGGTCTGGAAGAGGAAAGAAACTCAACCAAGAGCTCCCTAAGCAAACCCCATGCCCCCACTGCCAGTGCTCCTCTGCTCAAGGATGCTACAACCTACTCTGACTTTTTACATGTGAGGGAGCCCCAGACCCATAAAACATACCACACCCTCAGTTCACTCTTTTTGCTCTTCTCAGAGCCAGGTATGTTGGCAGAGTCAAGAACCACCAGGTTAGGAAGAGCATAAGTTAGACTTCTTCGTATAACCCTACTTTTCCTCCCCCCAGTCCAAACACTATGATGCTTTACATGGAAAAGACAGTCTACTTTTACCAGACAGGTTTCCTGTCCACACAGAAAAAACTTTAATATGCAGTTTACACAAATACATCATTCCCTCTTGTTTTATCTGTGTTTATTAGCCACTTTCTACCCAACCTATGACCTGAACATATTATTATTCATTTTCTGCTGTAGTACTTTTCCCATTGTACTTGCTCCATCACAAACATTAATGAGATTAAGGCTAGCATGATGAGATTAAGCTTCCAACATCTGGATCATCCACCAGGTTTGTACTCAACCTGGGTTCCTGCTGTGTCCCCTGGGGTCCCTATGGTGGGAAACTGACTACAAATACCACCTCTATATATAGTGGGCAGAATTAGAAACCCCTCAGTGAATGACTCTAATCGCCTTACTGGCTGCCAGTAGTTTCCTTTTTCAGCCTATTTTGGGACTTTGGAAAAATACCACAAAAAGGAAAGATTATTTGAGAGCAGAGAAATGTCATTTTCTAAAACTTATTCTCAGAAACCAATGAATCATTATAACAAAAACTGTTTTTCAATCAACTCATTCATTAATTAATCATGCTGAAGCAAGATTTGTCCAGAATGGAAAATTTTAAGTAAAATAATGACTGGCAATATTATAAGCAAGTGAAAGAAAAAAACCCCACAAACCCCAAAACTTGACAAAGTGCTGTCTAACTTCACCTGCCACTGCCCCTAATAGACAGATGGCCTTCCCACAACAGCAACACCTCTCCTGTCAAATTTAACAATGTGGTCATGTGAGTACAAACTTAGTGGGACTTCTGCCTTAATATAGACTAAGAAAAATATTGAATATTGACTTCTAATGTTATGTGATAAAGTCATATAATAAGAAATAAGAAAGTGCAACAGCATAGAACATTGTATCTCACTAGGACTGTACTTCCTTTTCAGTCAGGAAACCCAGGTAGTTTAAAGGGAACATGAGATCAGGAAGTCCATCAAGATGTTCCTGGCACAGATTAGTCACAGGACTATTTATCCAAGGGTCAGTCACATGTGTGGAAAGTTAAAAAAAAATAAAAATGTAGCAGTTAACAATCCGTTGGTCTTTGAGCATAATTGGCATGCTCTGTAATGCTCCATGAATCTCGTGGTACACACACGCATGCCTATTCTCACTGCACACTCTTCATGACAAGAAGCTGATTTTTGTGCAAATCTAAACAGCAAAGTACAACTCTGAATTACAAAACAGAGAGTTGGGACCTGATTGCAGAACTGCCAACATCTCCTTTACAGGCAGATGGCAAAATTGTTATAATAAGATGCTTGAGGAAGAATTCACCAGTAACACTTGGAGGGGTGTAAAGAGACTATCCCTCTTAACTGAGGAAGAAAACATCAAACCAATAGCCCCAGACTGTAATATCCCTGTATAGATTTGTCCCCAGAGATGGGGTAGAAGTCTCTGCATTGCAAAATAATCAGTTCCAGGATGCACCATTGCAGAGTCACGTCTAGCAACCCAACTGTTCAGTCAAAAGGAGCAGGGAAAGATAGTCCCACATCCACCAGCCCACTGGCAGGAGATGTGCCAGGCTCCTGTGTGGACATGTGCAGATCACCCATGCTAAACATGACAAAAGAGGAAAACACATTTGGTGCTGGTGACTGACAGTGGATTCCCTGCCTCTCCCAAGTGCTGGTGACTGAGAAAGTGCTATTTGTGGTTTAACTGGTTTCTGCTGCAGAGAACATTTGTGTCCTGCTTGTATGGAATCAGATTTTACTAATTTCCCTACCCATTTTTTACATCTTGAAGGAATGCCATTTAAATTACCCTTGCACCTTTGCAGCAAAACCCATGAGTCATCACCATGAAGAGGATTCAGAGAAATGTGCCATGGGAAAAAAGAGGCCTCATGGGGAAGATGAAGAGGAAAGCTTTCCATGATCAGTTGCAGAGGACAAGTCTAACAGCGGTAACTGACCCTCAAACCTGACAACATGGGCCTATATTAGGTATTCTTTCAGCTCAGCCAGGTGTTGCCAAAGCCCATGGCAGGGTTCCCATCCTTTTCACTAACCCTGCAGTCATGCTCCTATACCCCCAGGAGCCCATAGCAGGGTTACATGGTACAGGAGGGAGGTTCAGGACACAATGTGCAGCAACCAGCAGGTTCCAACAACTTTCTCACCATGTTGCATAGTATTTTTTGCTTTCCACAAAACTCCTTCTGCTGCAGACTCCCAGCAGAACAGGCATAGAAACGGAGTGTGAGTGGTGCCTTCCCCAGATAGATTTCACACTTCTAAGGCACAGAGAAGGAAACCAGCATCACTTTGATCAAGTGCCATGCTCTATGTACTGTAAATGACGATACACCACTCCCTCTATGCTTGCCACCTTGCCAGTTTGGCATACTTACTCCTGATCTCTGAGTGTCACCCCTTTTCAGTAAAGGAAAATATTTTCAAAAGTGGACAAATGACCTGGGAGCCCCAGCTCCATCACTGCTCAGTGAGGCATTACATCCATTTGATGGTATGCACTTCACACAAGTGTTTAACAGGTCAGTCACCCAGATGTGGAGTGAGACAAATACCACCATGGGGAGCTTGAATCTGAATCAGACACTCTCTGGAAGTGCCCATCAACCTTCAAAGAGAGCTGAGGCTCAATGTAACACATATTTTGGCCTTTCAGGACAGTTGGCAGACCCTGTTCCTAGGTTCCAGTCCACAGCCCAGCCATAATCTGCCTTTCGTTCAGCTCTCGACTGAGATACTCCCATGAAATAATTTTATATATCAGCGTCTGATTACCTCATTCCTGCAGAGGAGGACTTTACTCCAGAAATGAGCCCATGACTTGGATGGGCTGCTCAAGGACTGCAGCTGCTTCCTAGGAAGGGGCATTTACAGGGCATCTTTCTCAGTTCCTCACTTCTTTCCTTCTCAAGTGTGTGGCTGCTCATGAAAGGGCTGCCTCTGCCCACCACTGCTCAGAGCCCACCTGACACCCACGGTCAATGCCACCTACATGCTGAGAGGTTTTCTTTTCCCATACCCTAGAAGGGATGGAGGAAAATGGTCTGCAGAGGTAAAGGTGCTCTTGCTGTCATTGAGGCTCAGTGAGCCTAGGAACAAAAAGTCTAAAGCCTCTCTATAGACAAAAGTATGCTTTGCAACATCAAGCATCAAGGTCCCATGCTGTAGCAGATCATGTTCCTCAAGCACAGCAGGCTCACAGCAGTTACCTCACACCAGCTCCACTCCCAATCGCACCACATCCCACCTAATCCCACCATATTCCCACTTGGGCTGCTGAACGCAGATGATGCAGTGGGTATTTATCACTCTCACCATATCCCTTGCATGGGATGAGTTCAGCACCAGCATTACCTAGACTGTGCACATGTACCTTACACTGTGAAGCAGAGATCTTGATCTCGCAAGCTTTAGGGACATTAACCACTGCCACATCAGACCCTTCCCTTACTATTTTCCATGTTATCTGTGTGATCTGTCAGGGAGCAGAAGCCACTTGAGGACATGCTTAAGCATGAGCACCAGGTTTCCCTAGGACAAGAGACAAAATATTCACTCTGACATATTAAAATAAACCAACCTCTCCTTCTTTGGAGCCAGATTGTGAGTATGTAGGGTGTATGTAGTCAGATGAATGTCATTGCCAGATAAGAACATCTCTCAC